CATCACTACCACTATCACCACCATGACGGGTAATCTTTGAGTGCTGCTATGTCCCACACCCTGTTCTGAGTGCTCGTTCCTATCTCAGTTAATAATCATTGGTTGATACTCTTGTGATCCATATTTTATAGATGAGGAAACTCAGGCTGAGGAAACAAAGTGACTTCACTGGGTTGTGTGGCTACTCAGTGATGGAGCAAATAAGTAGGAAGGAAGCCCTGGGACTCTCAGCTCTGGCTACACATTAGATTTGCCTGGAGAGATTTAAAAGAAAGTACCATTGCCTGGGCCCCACCCCAGACCAATTCATTAGGACCTCTTGGGCTTTGGGCTTCAAAAAATTCTTTGCAGGTTATTCCAATGTGCAGTTCAGATGGAGACTACAGGGCATGGACAACTCATTTACATGGCAGGTGTTCTGGCATGTGAAATGCAAGTGTGTTGGATTTTAATGGAAGTTATCTGAGAAATCTCTTTGCAGACAAACTCATCATTTGGAGTGTGTGCTCTTTTCTCCCTCATAACTGGGTAATGAGAGGAAACTTCCCAAAAAAGCCAAACACAGAACATGTCCTATATGTTATTATTATTTCACATTTTTACTACTTGTACCAGCTAATCACTGTAGAAATTTCTCATGTTTGGGAGGATGAAGACATCTCTCCATCCCCTTTCTCCTTCTTGTCCCTCCTTACAACAAGAAAAAAATATACCAGAGTGTCGGCAGTAAATGAAAAGAGCTGTAGCTAAGTTGTGACTTGCTTTGGTTCCTGTATTTATCTTGCCCTCTGTACGTGTAAATTGATTGGGAAGAACCTGGGGTCATCTGTTTTGTTCAAGTCCTCACTTTTGCTGAGTAACTTTGGGACAGTTGCTTGATGTATCTAAGTCTCCAGGTCCTCATCTAAAAACAGTAAAAAAGTAGTGCCGGACGGCACTTGTGGCCAGCCCCATATGCCGGAGGTGGGGTTCAAACTCAGCCTCGGCCAAGAACTGCAAAAAAAAAAAGTAGTGCCTACGTCCCAAGGTTATTTAAGGTTCAAGCTCATAGTGAATGGCGGTGTTAAATCAAGCTTCAGTGGCACCATCAATAGTTGTAATAGTAAGAGTACCAATAAAATATTAATAGAAAGTTTCTATCCTTGTGGAGATTGCGATGACTTCTTAAATCAGTGGTTCTCAACCTTCCTAAGGCCGTAATGTATTTTCATTGTTAAAAAAGGGTTGTGACCCAGAGGTTGAGAACCACTGTCTTAAATGGAAGCTAGAAGATATGGGAAGAAAAAGATTTTCCTGTCTCCTTATTCTTCACATACCAGGCGTGTGGAGAAATCCAAGTAAAATATTTTTGGCTAGCTGCAACCGTAGATTGATCCAAACCAACTGTGAAGGGAGCTAGAGCTGCTTTCCCACTTCGTTTAATTATGAAAATAACAAAGGCATAAGTAGAAATCTTGCCTTCATTTAAAAATCGTGGTGAAGCTGGAAGAGGTGGTATGAGATTGTAGTAGCCCCAGCTACTTTGAGGCTAAGGCAGGAGATCCCTTGAGCCCAGGAGATCAAGGGTGTGGTGAGCTATGAGCAATTGTAACAGAGCAAGAGCCTGCCTGCCTCAAAAAAATTTTTTTAAAGAAAAAAAATACAATAACAATCGTGATGAGAACATTTACTAGACCTTTAGAACTTTTCATCCTGTCTAATTGAGAGTTTCAATTAGAAACCTGCACCCCTAGCCAGCTACTGACAACCACCATTCCCTTCTGCTTTTAGGAGTTCAACTTATTTTGATTCTACACATAAATGAGATTATGAAGTATTTGTCTCTCTGTGCCTGGATTATATCACTTAGCATAATGTCCTTTAGGTTCATCCATATTGATGCAAATGACAGGATTTCCTTCTTTCTAAAGACTGAATAGTATTCTTTTTATGTGTATATATACATAGAGAATAGTGGTTCTCAACCTTCCAAATGCTGCAACCCTTTAATACAGTTACTCATGTTGTGGTGACCCCCAACCATAAAATTATTTTTGTTGCTACTGCATAACTGTAATTTTGCTACTGTTATGAATCATAATGTAAATATCTGATATGCAGGATGGTCTTAGGCGACCCCTGTGAAAGGGTCGTCCAACCCCCAAAGGGGTCATGACCCACAGGTTGAGAACTGCTGATATAGGAGGTCTGATGATTGAATTCGTCAATTTGCCACCTAAAGCTTATGTTACCAGCACTGTACAAACAACTCAGTAAGGTTTTATAACCTTAGTATACCAGTGTTTCTCAGCTGTGTTTCTCTTTTTTTTTTTTTAAATTAACCATTTTATTTTATTATTATTATTATTTTTTGCAGTTTTTGGCCGAGGATGGGCTTGAACCTGCCACCTCAGGCATATGGGGCTGGAGCCCTACTCCTTTGAGCCACAGGCGCCACCCAGCTGTGTTTCTCAATGTGTTGACACGTGGCAGTGTCTTACTGAGTGGCGTTCATTATTGATGTGCCATTGTAAGAATGTCAGAGCTTGAATTAGAGCAATGAACAAACATCCATAAATTTCTCATTAAACTTATCAAGAGTGGAAATGAAATTAGGGACATGATAGTCCAAGTTTATGGGGGTTCACGGATAGAAATCCTGAGTGTGGGGGGTTCACAGACAGAAGGGAAACAGCTGCTCCTTAGAGTTTGGGCTCAGCTGTCCCTGGGGGCACTTATGGCAACTCACGTGGGAACTGTGGGCAGTAGTCTCGAGGCCCCCTGCCCCCCGATTGCTGCACTCTCCTCTCCCTGGAAGGTGGCCACACTGAAGGTCCAAGCTCTGGGATCACACTGTTCCCTTGGGACCCACTGGCCCACTGTGGCCCCTGCAGTCTGGGCAGGTGTTGGGAGATTTTGGTGTAGTAAACAATGGCGAGAAAACTGAAGGCTGAAGCTCCTTGGGGGAGGACAAAGGCACAGAATGGGAGGAGAAGCACTGTGGCTCCTGCCACCTCAGCTCGGGTCTGTGATGACAGGGAGCGACCTTGAGGGGGCTGCCAGCCCAGTGTTGTGCTCTTAAGAAGCTTCTGGTTTGCCTGTAATCCAGCATTCTGGGAGGCCAAGGTCAGTGGATTGCTTGAGCTTATGAGTTCGAGACTAGCCTGAGCAAGAGTGAGACCCGGTCTCTGAAAACATAGCTAGGCAATGTGGCAGTCACCTGTAGTCCCAGCTATTCAGGAGGGTGAGACAAGAGGATCGCTTGAACCCAAGAATTTGAGGTTGCTGTGAGCTAGGGCACAGCAGCACTCTACCCAGGGTGATAGAGTGAGACTCAGTCTCAAGAAAAAAAAAAAA